AAGATCTAGGTCAACTAAGACCAAGTTGAGAAAAGAATTTCACATGCATTCTGGTTAGATTTCCCTCTAACTGTAGGTCTCCCAAGTCCCCAGGTCTGACAGAATTGTGAATCACTGCTTCCTGGGAGGGGGTGGGTTTTTTTTTTTTTTTTTTTGTCTTTTTCGTTTTTATCGGTACCAGGGATCGAACTCACGACCGCACACTTGCAAGGTAGGTGCTTATGCCGCTGAGCGAAATCCCCAGCCCCGAGTGGGCGTTTTTTATAAATACAATTCAGATTAAGAAATCAGACTCAGGATGACTCGTCTCCTTCTCAAAATGTACTGTCATTGTCACCCTAAATTGTATCAAGCTTACAGTAAAGAGGTGGGTTTTCAGCTGTTACCAACAAGATTCAAAGCAGGATTCCTGTGTACCTTCATGATGAAAACCTTACGTTGTTTTCACCAGGTTCCTATCCACAGAGGACACAGTGGCCACAGTGCCAGTGAGGATACCCATGAACAACAGACAGAAGCTACTTCTAAGACATGTATATTATATTGGAATTTATTTCTTTCCTATTTCACCTTTTCAAGCAAGAATACCACTTTTTGCCTCAAACAACTGTACTAGCTCTTACTAGAGACTGATAAAGCTTATCCAGCTCAATATTAAGTCCCACGTCCCTTTCCGGTCATACTGCCTGCTAAGAATAGGCCTATAAGGTAGCACTCCTGGAGATTTTTTACAGACTTGTGTATCCTCATCTGCCACAATATTCCATCTGTACTCAGACATTTTAGGTCAGAAGGAAAGCTGAGTGCTAGATAGGCCTGGAATGACCAGGTGAGGGCTGGCAACAATGCTCTGTGGCTTGAGTAGTCACCTGTCAGGGCACAATCTACGTGGGCACACAGAGGGGCTGCATGGCAGCCTGCTAGGTATCTGGGAAGAGTGCCACAGTGCAGAACAAGGTGCCTCTCAGTGACTCCTTTGCCCAGGTCCTCTTTACACTGTGGGAGAAGGGCAGTGGGGAACTAGAACTGCTTCACACTCAGGCTGGACAGTTCTCTATCTAAATTGATTGGTCACTTCTCTCTGAACAAAAGAGGAGGGTAAAGATCTAGGAAAGGACCTCAGGTCATAGCACTTGAGAGGCTAGGCTAGTGTGGCAATCCCACTCCATAACCACTCTCCCTGTTGCTGGTTTTGTAAGGCAGTAGAGGGATGACAGTGGGACACAAAAAGGCCTTGGAGGGGTGGGGCTCTATTTCTAGAAAAGGAGTTTTATTTTCTTACTTTTTTTTTTTGTATTTTTACCGATACCAGGGATCGAACTCACGGCCACAGGCTTGCAAAGCAGGTGCTTATGCTGCTGAGCTAAATCTCCAGCCCCAGAGTTTTATTTTCTTAAAGGCAAACAAAATACTGGGGTGTACTCCTCCCCAAAGTGACTCTATTAACCCTTAGTTCTGAGATACAGGGCTGAAACTTGTTTAGCAATACAAGCTCTGGGATCTGGGCTTATTTCACTTTTTTTCCTGAGGTAATTTTCATTTCAGTCAGAAATCAATGTATGTACTACTTTTATATTCTACTATAATCACAGATTTGCAAACTAGCAACTCTCTACTTTCCTACCTAAACTGGCCATATAAAATGACAAAAGATCTGGGCTGGGGATTTAGCTCAGTGGCATAAGCGCCTGCCTGGCAAGCGTGAGGTCGTGAGTTCGATCCCTGGTACCAAAAAAAAAAAAAAAAAAAAGACAAAAGATCTGAAGATCAATTTTGAAAACATGTGAAGGCTCAGCTCACAAAATCTGGACAGATGAATTTAGCTGTACAGAAATTAAATATTATTCTAAGAGAATAAACAAAATGATTATATTTTTGAACACAGTCAATCAACTGTGTACTGGTTTGTCTAAGTGTTCTGTGAGTGTTCCCTAGTGTACAGGCTGATTTGGAAAGAGATCAGGAATACAAGATAATATCCATTCCAATAGGCTTTCTCCTAAATCAGATTTTCTCAGTGCAATTGGCTTTAGATCACAAAGGAAAGAATCTCTGTTTAATTTAGATCAGGCTCAGTATTCAGCTGAGGTAAAATCTGAGGAACTCTTTTTTACAAAAGCAAACCATAGGAAATGAAAATCCCATTCTAGGCTTTTACATACATTTATTTTGTGTCTTAGATGATTACTTTAACTTTGCTTTTTGCCTCAATTTCCTTGTTTGGAAAATGATGTCAGTTTCACCCATTTTGTGAAAAAGTATTTTGGTAGTCTGTGGTTGTAGGTACTGTGAAAGGAACCAAAAGTCACTGTGAACTCTCAAAGAACTGGTTTCATATCTAGGCTCATCTGCTATGACACAGATATACCGTGTGCATGTGTGTGTGTGTGTGTGTGTGTGTGTGTGTGTGTGTGTGTGTGAGAGAGAGAGAGAGAGAGAGAGAGAGAGAGATCTCTAAAACATTGCAAATACCCTAGAGATGGGCCTACTACTATTTTCAGATGTGGGCCATAGCCACATAGAATTTTTGGTATCAAACTTGCCCAAATGCATCTTCTAATGATGAAGATTCAAAATAAATGATGGTGGCTGGGGATTTAGCTCAGTGGCATAAGTGCCTGCCTTGCAAGTGTGTGGTCATGAGTTTGATCCCTGGTACCGATAAAAAAAGAAAAAGACAAAAAAAAAAAAAAAAAAGCCAGACTCCATATTTGAGAAATACTTTTCAGATTCAAAGTAAATGCACATTAATCTGATCCTCACATTAGCCAAGTGGGAGTGCTGTTCCCATTTTACTGATGAAGAAACCGACGTTCAGAGAAGTTAAACAATTTACCTGCAAGTAACATGTTCAAGATTCATACATAATTATTTTCCATTTCGAATCCACTGCTCATGTTCCCAAGTTTCCCTGGGCCAGAGCCTGTCTCACAGTTAAAAGACTGTAGATTCTTAAGCATCATTTTAGTCAAGATTAAATAAAAAGGACTTTTTTCAGTGTGGATGGGAAATTGATAATGAGATGATTTGTAACTAACAATTAAATGGCAATAACTTAAGAAGAATCTCCTCCCTCTCCCATTCAAGTGCTTCTAAAGTTAAAAGGTACTGGGTGAAGGTGGGAGCAATATCACTTTACTTGGAGACAAGGAAGCTTTAGCCCCACATTCCTCACCATCCAGTCATTCTACAAACAGATGTACAGAAGATCCATCTCCTTACCATCCTGTTACTCTAAAGGGATGATAACAGCCATTGGGGGGTTAAAAAGAGGCAGTGAACCCCCAGTTAATGAGTAGAAATTCAGCAGGCAGTGTAAGATAAATGGAGCTCTCTCTGCTTCTGCTAGAGTCAGCATGAACTGCGGCCCTGCGGCTTGTTTGTGGCAAATGGAGTGCGCGAAATATCAAAGGGCAGTGATCCAGAAGAAGACCGACTTTGACAAATTTTAAATTGGCCAGAAAGAAAACCAGGGGGAGAAAAAAAGGAAAAAGAAAAAGAAAGAAAGAAAAAGAGAAAGAAAGAAAAAAGAAGAAAAATTATGCAATTTGCTGTGCCCTGCACTTGTGACATTGCTGTCTTTGTACAGAATTAGTGGGAAAAACAGCAGTGGGAAAAACAGCAGCAACAATTGCTAGATGCTGGGTGCAATTATGAGCCATCTCAGTGAGATGCTTATCAGTGGCTGAAGCTTTTAGAGCCCTCTCTATGTACAGTTGTAAGTAACTTGCTCTTGAGCTGCAGTTACTTTAATTAAAGTGTATGAGGTTGGTCAGAAGTAATTATCCTGTTTGGAAAAGAAAGAAAAAAACCACTTCAACAATTCTGGGTGGCAATAGATTTTAGAAGCAACTTTGCCAATTTCTTGTAAGCGTGCGTTTCCCATAAAAGGATCAGGCTGCAGCCAGTTAGTGTTACTGGTGGCTGTTACTTAATGGCAAACAATGGGACACAACAGGGTTTATTGTATATCCAGTCACTGTGTTTGGCAAGCAACATAGCTCAGGATTCCAACTGCCTGGTGGTGCAGTCTTCACACTGTAGGCAAATACTTGGCAGTTTTTCTGTTCCCCAATAGTGAAGATACAGAGCCCACAAATGGTACTTTATTACTGAAATCACTCTTTGGAACGTAAATGAGCTAGAATCTTTCTTTTTTATTTCTTCCATTCAGTGAATTTCACTACTTTTTAAAGACAACCTCTCTGTTCCTTTAGAAAAACCAAACCAAACCAACCAACAAAAGAACCTCAAATCAATTATCTTTACTGACACAAAAGGTGCTCAATGGGAGACAGAGGCAGAAAGACAGTGTTTTAAAAGAATCTAAAACTCATTCAGACCCTGGGCTCAACATAGGGCTCCCATGGTTTATTCTTATGTTCAAATTGCAAGTGCCTTCCAAAACCTCTGAAAACAAATGAGCAACAGAGCAATGGCTGGCAGCATCAAGCATGAATGCTCCCAGGGCTATTGCTGTTGCAGCCGCTATTTGGAAGCACACAGGGCACAGTCTTTACTTCCATTTCCCTAGCTCAGGATGACCCTGGAACACTGTGTGGACAGAGATTCCAGGTTTTCTATAACAACACATTGACTTTCACATTCCTCAGAAATGGAGACAGACTCTTCAAAGGGACAAGCAGAAAGAAGACATGTTGAAGGCTCGCATATTCCTTGCCTCATTAGCCTGCTCCCAACAGCAACGTCTAGCTAATCATTATTTACAGGAATATCCTAGAAAAGTAGTGTATTTCTACTATAAGGAAATATCAGAAGAAAATTCAAGTGATTTTTGCTTTTTTTTTTAGGATTCACTTTCCCTCCTATTACACACACTATTTCATTCTACCAGGGTTCTTACCATACAGAGGACAGTAAATAAAGATTATCATGAATTTGATCAAATGCTTCAATGCTTCCTTCTTTGGCCTATGAATGCACTCATTACAAATCAGCTGAATGGCTCATTGATTTGCCAGGACGACAAGCAGACATACCCAATCGCTCAGCCAAGCGGATGTAGACTGGATCCACCCTACGCATGGTTTTCACCAGATCCTTTTTGCGGAATCTGATTTCTACTGTCCCTTCTGGCTCCAGAACTGATCCCCTGGATCAGAGAGAAACAAAACAAAACAGAAATAGAGGCACTTTAAAGAAAACAGACAACAGAATGAGGCAAGTTACAATTTGTGGACCAGGAAATAGCTTCATTATGGTTTTCCCCACCCATGGTTCACAGAAGTCACTCCAGAGAGAAAAGCAGGCACCAGAGAAGTGTCTGAGTGAGGTACGAGAAAGACCTGGCAAAAAGCAATTAAAATAATTCTTATTACTATACCAGCTGACTTCTATCTCAACAGGAGAATACAGATTCCACCACCTGCAGTGGATAAGGGCAACTGAAATCATATTATTTTCTAGGGGAGGAAGAGAAAGAAAAGAAAAAAAAGAGATGCTATCGGTGTGAAGGCAGGGCAACCACTTCTAGCAGTTAGGCTGTACTAACGAGGGCTCAATGTTGATCATCCTATATCACAGTGGTCAGCCTGCTGACAGGACTAGGGTCAGATACACTAGATCAGGTCAAAGGGTAGATAAAAGATTCTGCCCACTGCAATGGAAAGTAGCAAAGTGAAAGGTATCAGCTAGTAATACTAATGATATCCTCTCACCAGAAATTATCCCCTAAATACATTAAAATTATTATGTTTAAAAAATTTCAGCAAATGCCTACTATGTAAGTATAAGGCATTGTTTTAAGTGCTAACAGATAAATACTTTTAAAAAATCCTATGCCCAGTGAACATATACTATGATTTAGGGTACTGATACTATCCCTATTTTATGAATGAGAAAAGTGAGGTATTGGAAGTTTAAGAAATTTGTCCAACGGGCTAGGGATTTAGCTCAGTGGTGTAAACACCTGCCTGGCAAAGCATGAGGTTGTAAGTTTGATTCCTGGTAACAAAAAAAAAAAGAAAGAAAGAAATTTGTTCAAATCTAGTAAGTAGCAGAACTGGATTTGAAGCCAGATAATATGATTCCAAAGTCTTTAGAGGAATGGTCTCTGATCTGATTATCAGATCAAGAGCTAGATTAGGACCTAAAAATAACAAAACTCTCAATGTAGAATGCAAGTCTGTTGATTTGACAGTAAAACTACTAGATTTCTCTAAGCAGCTTTGAAGTAGAAAGCTCAGTTTCTTTGGGGAAAGAGAGAAACAGGTGCTGCAATAAAATGAGTGGATATAGGAATGTGCATGCCAAATGTCAAGGAAATACTTAGGAAAAGTATTAAGAAGCCTACTTAGCAAAGGGTTGAGAAACATTATTCAAGGATGTTGGATTTGGTCTGTTTTACCTGAGTAATTTGAAGAGCCAACTTCCAGAAAACCTGGGCTTCTCTCTTGCAGCTTTTTGGGCACTACAAATGCTGTGTCCTCCAGCCTCCTGGAATGCCAGTGGAAACCCTAGGCTCCAAAGGCAGAAAGCTGGTACTCATCAATGGCCAGCCAGCTCAATCAATAAACACAGAGAAGCAGCCCACGAAGTACAAAGACAGCTCCAAATTCTCCGTAATGATTGAGTTTAAATTCTAGAATTCCAGATTAACAATGCAGTCCTTCTACTCTAACTCACTTATGCTCCCTCTTCCACACACTTAAGAAAGAGACGGTGAAACAGGGCATGGTGGGGCAATACTGTTATCTTAGCCCTCTGGGAGATGGAGGCAAGAGGGCTGAAAGTTTGAGCCCAGCCTGGGTAATGAGCAACTTAGTGAAACCCCATCTCAAAAGAAAAACAAACAAAAAGGAAATAAATCAAACACACAAGTAATACTGCACTGCTCCTCTGCTGTGAGAAAATGAAAGTGTAAATAAGAACTAAAATGTATAACAGATATTGTGAAATATAGGAAGAAAATGTTCAAAAGAAAAAAAGGGGAACACTAGGGAGATGGGAGGGGGAAAGAAGGAAGGGAAAAGAAAATAAGATAAAGAAAAAATGGAAACAAAGCTTTTGTGAATAAGGAGAAGAAAAGGGGTTGAAGGGAGGGTAGGGCAGTGGGGGGAAAAAGCATCAAGTTACATTATGAAGGAGCACAAATTCCCTATAATGAACGTGATCATTATATATACCTAAGGTGTAATAATAAATTTAAAAACAAAAAACAGCACACACAAATATACATATAAATAAACAGGCTGTAGTTGTGGCTCAGAGACTAGGCCCTTGGCTCAATGCTTAGTACCATTAAAAACCAAACCAAAACAAACCTTAGGACAATGAAAACAGTCACTAGTCACAGGTGAATAACAAGTGGGAGTGGAGAATGGAGTTTAAAGGTGTCTGGAAGAGAGGGCTTCACAGCCCTAAAGGAATCTAGCATGGGGGATTATCCTGAGAATGCTCAATTCAGGGCTGGTTTAGTAGACATTAGTTAGAAAGCCTACTTTTCTGACCTTGGAGTTCTTTAGCAATGGACTGAATCAAATAAAACTGTCGTGGTCATAATGTTGTCTGGAGGAAAACAACAGCAAAAAAGTCCCTAGTCAGTAAATAGAAATAAGGAAGGCACTCTACCTGCTTTCTCGGTCAGCGTACATCTCCATGTGCCTGGGGTTGATGGTGGGGTCAATCACAACCCAGGAGCCACCCCGCAGCTCAGCCTGCGGAGGAATGTAAACCATCACTGGCTGGGAGCACTCCCGCAAGCTATCCACGATGTAAGCACCAAACTTCAGCACTTGGTCATACATATCTAAGGAGTGAAAAAAATTAGAAATTATGATGTTTACCCTCTCCCAATATTCTTTTGTCTTTTTCGTTTTCATCGGTACCAGGGATCAAACTCACGACTGCCTGCTTGCAAGGCAGGCGCTTATGCCGCTGAGCTAAATCCCCAGCCCCTTCTCCCAATATTCTTAACAGCATGGCACACATAGAAAGTATTTTTTTATGGCATACTATGATTCCCTGAGGAGGCTGTTCATGGCCAGAGGTGACAATTACGTGTGCTGCAACCACCTCAGGTCCTGAGTGGCTACTCTGAAGGACTGATATATTCACCTGTTTGTGAAGATCTCAGATGACCTTCAAAAGCACAGGAGAGAAATCTACTCTTACATAAGATACAGTATGCAAGCCCTCCAGATTGTATATCCATTTTATATCTTTCCTGAATTTCTGTACTAAGATATCAGCACATTAATTCATATTTGCAATGCAAATGTTAAGTATTTTTCATGTCAATATGTGATCTCTCCCACTACATTAAGTTTTCTGAAGGAACTACTCTAGCTCTTTACATGTCCTCTCATGAGTCTTAGCATATGATAGTCTTTAAAGTGTACAACTATTGGAAATGGATCCTTTGGAAATTTCACTTTAAAAACTAGATCTATCTCATCTCAGCAGCAGTAGAAAAATAAAAAAATAAAAACTAGATCTACCTAGTTCCTAGTGTGTAATCAGCCAGCGTTCAGTAAGTATCTGCTGAATGAATGAGCACATACACATTTTAGAAAGATTACAAGGAAGACAACCAAAGTATTTAATACTGTACATACATTTTTATAGGATATCAATGAGAAAAAAATATATATTATCACATAGTCACATACCACCACCTCTTCATTCTGCTAGAGTATGCTCTGTAATGCTCCCAAGGCCAGAAGCAGCCTGAAGAAAAGGACACCTGGTATATAAATAGTCTTTGGAAAGCTGGGTCAGTTACTTAGTTTTCAATTTTTTATGGAGTTCTTCTTATTTCCTAGCTCCTTGAACTCTAAATTGCTAGTTTGAGCTTTATGATTCCAAATGCCTAATGAGTATTTCAGTGAAGTAACAACGGGGCCTTTCTAAATACCAAATAACAGGTTCTACTGAGTTCAAACTTTCCTATCAAAGAGAAGATCTCAATTTGAAATAAATCAATTCTGGAAATCCAAGGTAAAGAGCATTTTTCAAGAAGTTAAGAGCAAACCAAATAGAAACTGCTTTCATTGTAGTTACTGGCAAATTAAACTGCCACCTTCTCGAAAGATGGCTCTATATAAACCATCAGTGAGCACAGCTCATGGCAAGGCACATGCCTCTGTCCACTGCCCAACCTGACTTGTCTGTGAAGATTTCAAAAACTCCAAGTTGGCCTAGGAAACAGTCTCTACACTATCTGGAATGTGCATGTTCATATACTCTATATATGTGATCAGAGAAATGACATTTATTCCTTTGGAGGAAAGCAAAGACCAAAAAAAAAAAAAATTTACTGCTAATTACACAACTGCTATACGAAGAGCAGGGAATAAAGGACTTTAAGAGCTTTATACTAATTCTGTGGTTATGAAAATAATTGCTCAGTTCAAATTATTTTAACTAAATTAATTCTTTAGTGGATATTTCAACTAGTGCTCCATAATAAAATAATTGTGTAATTAGCAGTACATTTTTCAATGCTGCCAAAAGCAGTTTAGCACAAGTAAAAGAAAAGAAGGATCTTCAGTGGCCTTGTATACAGAGAAGTGAAGGCATAGACAAAAGGTGAAGATAAAAAATAGAAGAGCATAAAAAGTCATTTTACCTGGGAAAAAACCCTCCAACAACAACATCTTATAGATAAACGAAGACAAAGTTTCTAGCCTCTTTGCTACCCAAATGCTGGGGAATCAAACCAATGTCATCATACATGTTCAGCAAACACTCTACCAGTGAGCCATACCACAGGCCCTTTCCACAACCTTTTATCCACTTGTTTGTTCAATCATATCAAAATTTCCAACTCCCCAAAGGGGAAGACTATTTAAAATGTATTTTCATTTGTTAATTTTTTTTTTTTTTTGTCTTTTTCCTTTTTATCAGTACCAGGGATCGAACTCACGACTGCCTGCTTACAAGGCAGGCGCTTATGCCGCTGAGTTAAATCCCCAGCCCCCCATTTGTTAATTTTTAAGAGCCACTTAATTTCATTTCATATAGAAAGTATCTGGAACAAAGCTGAGTATATTTGCATTTTTCATGTTTGTGAAATGTACTTTGGTTCCTCCTTTTCATCATTATGGATAGCATACCGTGTACCCAGACTGTACTGTGCACACATATAGACATATGCACGTACATACACACGAATCATTTAAACATGAGTTCATCCTATACATATTCAAGTTTCAAGAGAAAAAATGGAAAATTAGTTAAATAAGAGTAAGCAGAAGACAGCCTGGAATTTAGCTCAACAATGTAAGCACCTGCCTGGCAAGTGTGAAGTTGTGAGTTCGATCCCTGGTACTAAAATAAAACAAAACAAACAAAAAAAAGAGTAAGCAGTAGCAGCAAGACTCAAACTCAGATCTTTTTGGCTTTAAAAATTTACCTCCTACTATCTCATTTTAACTTTAATTCTCTTATTGCTAGGAGAGACCATGAGGCTGGGGTAACCTCTTTCTAACATCTAATATAATGGCAAAGTAAAAACAACAACAATAAAACAATACAAAAACAGAAAAAAAAGACTTTTTTTTTGGTCTATTTCCTTTTTATCGGTACGGGGGATCGAACTCACGACTGCCTGCTTGCAAGGCAGGTGCTTATGCCGCTGAGCTAAACCCCAGCCCCTAGGAAAAAAAAAAAAAGACTTAAATAAACGATTGAATACCACCAAATGTTGCCTGAATTTTCCTCTATGTCTAGAAGTATCAGAAACTGTACTGATGACCCTAAAAGCTACATGAAGGGCTTGAATCTGGCTGCCAAACAAGTATCTTCAAACAGCAAAAATTAAGAGTAGAAAAGGGGCATTAGACTTCATTAAAGGAGACATGCTTGGAACTAAAATAACACCTCTATCTAACCTGGAAACCAACAGATCCACAATCCAAGCAAACAACTCTCAAACAGCAGACTATTAAAATATAAACAAACACAAATTTTACAATCTACATGTTTATACTGAATTGCCGCTGCCCCAAAACCATGCATTTTGAAAGGCACCTTTAAATCATTTGGCCACAGTCTGACATATAACTGTCTAAAATCCCTTTATATTTAAAAGACAGAGTGAAAATACAACCAACAGTAGCAGGAAAGGAAGATCCCCAAAGGTTTATACTAGAAATCAATCTAGGGAGTTTTAAAGCTATACATATGCTGTCAGTTCTTGGCTCTGAGAAATGCACTAGGAAATAGAAAACACTGATAGGTTCTTCACCAGAGAGGCAGGAGCTTTGAGTTTTCTAGTATTCTTGGCAAAGCAGGTCTGCATGTCTGGTGTTCACATGCAGCCTTTGAAGCATGTTCTCAGCACCCAGGTACCACCCCTGCTTAGGGTTTTCATTGTTACACAACATGGATAAACTGTGGCAGCCACATGTACCAAACAACAGAGAAGTGGCTGAAAGTGTTTCCACAGAGCCCCATACTGGAACATATTTTATTGACTTGGGCAAGATTATCTGTTAGAAGTTAAAGGTAAACATTATGCATACATAAGCTGCATATGCATAATGTCTCTCATGAGTTCATTATGGCTGGGAGAAACTGTATTTCAATATCCGAGTAATCAGAGACTTTAAAATAGACTTTCATTCCAGTTAAAGTTTTCAATGAATGTGTTTTTTTATTGTTATTTATAACCTGTCCCAGGAAAAAATAATAAGTATAACATGAAAAGCCAACTGAGAGTGACCCTGCAGCACCAGCAGCGAGGCGGCTTAATATCACTGGGATTTGCATCCTATCAAGCTATTCATGCTGAGGCTGGGACCCTGGTGCTAATTTCTAGTAAATTTCACGCTTGATGTCTCCCTGTTGTGGGTCATTGCCGGTTCGTCTAAATAAACTGCTTCCAAATGGCTCTTCCATCTAAATATTCAGCCAGTTTTTATAATTTAATTTTGCATTATGCTGAATAGCCTTCCGGCCAGATAGAGCTCATTGGAAAAAAAAGCACCAATACCATCTTGACAAGCTTTTATTTATTTATTTATATTTTTACTGCTTGAATTAGACCTCCTAGGCCGACTAGTAAAGAGTTTTTTTTCCCCCTCCACTAATGTCAATTTTCAGCATAGCAAGAGCTGTCTCTAATCTTTTCCTACTCATTACACACAATTTTGGAGTCATTTTACCCACAGTGCAGTCGGCTCCTGGCTGTGTGTTTGTGTGCACTGAGGGATGGCATAATTGTTTATTTTCCCTCCCTGCATAATCCCCAGTCAGTATTGAAACTAAAACTGCAAACATCTCCCCAAGGGATGTAGAGAATGACAAGAGGCTCTCAGTTTAGGTCCCTTTACATGAGATAATACAATAGGTAGGAACATTCTGACCTGTATGTAAATATGAAAGGCCCAGTTCCTCCCCCTCCTACTTCTACACAGATTTCTATCTTCCCTAAAGCTTATTTGTCTTGTGTAAATGGGTACATCAGCACCAAAATTCAGAATACACAATTGGCCTTTCTTTTTGACCAGGAGAGGGAGAGAAGAAGGGATGGGCAGTTACTATTTACTAAGTGCAGAGTTTAGTAGGGGATAATGAAAAAGTTTGGGATATAGACAGTAGTGGTGGTTATACAACCTTGTGAATATTTAACACCACTGAATTATACACTGACAAATAGTTAAAGTGATAAATATAATGTTTTTGGAGACAAGATCTTACTATTTTGCCTTGAACTTGTGATCCTACCAAGTACAATAGCTTGGATTACTGGCCTGGATCTGGCAGTATTATTATGTATATTTATCACATTAAAAAATTTTAAAGTCTTAAAATTTCTCTTTACAGTACTAAAAAAGATCACTAAAGGAGGGTGGAGCATTGCTAGATTACGTTTCTCAGTAATCTTAACATTCTGCTCCAGATTTTCTAGTTTACCTGGTTCTGAGATCTCAGATCAACCAGCTATGCTACAGAAAATCAAGATCTACATTCCTCTCCCAATTCTTGACATTTTTTAGCTGAATCATCTTGGGAGATTTACTTACCCTCAATTTGTATAAAATGTGGATAACAATATAACCTATCTCTTACAAGTGCAAATTGTGATCACTATATAGAATAATACATGTAAAACAGTAGTTTCTGGTGAAAAGCACTCAATGAATCTTTATTGTTGTTTTTCTTATTGTTATAGGGCTAGCAGCAGAATCAATAGTCTTCCTGGAAATGGATTGCTGACATTTTTGAACTCTAAACTCTAGTTAGAGAGGATAGCCCCACTTTTTCCCGAGTATGTGCTGGGAAAAATGTATTTACAGTTGCCCCTGCAGGAAGGCCATCAAAGAAGATAGTATTGCATTCTCTCAGAGCTTTCCAGTCAATGAAGTCAAGTGAAATCTAATGCTAACTGAACCTCATATGTAGACTGAAAGGGGAGTGCGCCTACCTTTTTCCCTCTAGCTTTGGTGTGGTAACAACCTCTTTTGAACCTCCTGGTATTCTGTTCATACGTCATCACTATATCATTCTTTTTTTCTTTTCTTTCTTTCTTTCTTTCTTTCTTTCTTTCTTTCTTTCTTTCTTTCTTTCTTTCTTTCTTTTTTGTATCGGGGATCAAACTCATGACCTCAGGCTTGCCAAACAGGAGCTTATGCAACTGAGCTACAGACCCCAGTGATAACGAATCACTTTATCATTCTGCTCAAGACATTTTCCTCGACTTCGTGAAGCAATGTCTGACATATTTTTCCCCCCGAGGTCACTACTACAGTTTCTTGCACATTCAGTAAAAATGTGTAGGATTGGCCTCTCAGTTTCTCATATTTCCACTGATTTGTTATCTCAGTAAGAAAAAAGTAAACCTTTGTGTATTTATAAAATACACAAATGTTAATTTTCATGTATAGTCTAAGTCTTCCTAAAAAGAAGTGCAAACTGTGGAAGTTCTTCAGCAATGGGTAACTTTTCAACTAAAAAAATACCCCAAAATCAACCTACTCTACATTTTCTCAGGGAGGTCTGATCATACAGGCTTTTCCCTAGCCAAGCAAGGGAAAAAAATAATTGACAAAAATTTTAGATACCTCTCACCACATGGGTTTCATCTATAAAAGGAGGCTTCCTAAATTATTCTTCCCTCAGAGGAGAGAAGTGTTTTTGTTCTATGCGACTTGTATGTACCCTGAGAATCCACTGCTTCACATTTTATGTACCCTTTTGGTCTCTAATCATTCCAGCATATCACCTTTTCCCTCCTTCCATTCCTCTAATCTTTTTGCTACCTCAGAATCCTGAAATAAACAAGGTTTATACCTATCTTTTATCCTCAGCTTTCAAGTGTGTTGTCTCTGGCCTTAGCATGGCCATAGGTCCCTAACTGCTGGAGAGACAGCTTTACTACTTTAAGAGGTGCAGTGTGTCTCCACCGGCTCTCCCTATGCTGCCCACAGTGATTTTTTTTTTCCCCCGCACCGGGAATTGAACTCAAGACCTTGCACTTAACAGGCAGGCACTTTACTTCTGAGCTATATCCCCAGCCCTGTTCATAGTGATTTTGTTCTAGAAGAACTCTCAGGTAATGGTTATACAGGCTGGCTAATCAGTATGCAATTCCCATAGCACAAAACAGAGCCTTTGTAATAATGGTCTAATCTTGCTGGAGCTATAGGCATAGGGCTATTGCTGGATAATACACATACCACAAATTGCCACAAAGAACAGCCTCTAGTATAGAATTTGTTCATTTCCTTCCATTTCATGCTAATTCCAGTATCTTGGTCATGGCAGAATGTTAGAGTAGCATGAATAAAGAACATGACCAGAAAAGAGGAATAGGGACAAGCACAACTTTTTCCCCCAGGACCATCAGAATTGTGCAAAACCTACCTGTGAAAGGTAAATTCCCAACAATAGTACAACTAGATAATAGTAGTAGATTACTCTGTAATTTTGTATGGAACTAGGAAACACTATATTTTTCCATTTGAATTGCAATCAGAAAGTTATCTTAGATGGAATATAATCTCCAAAAAAGCTGTTAGGGCAACCACAGGCTCTGTAGAATCTAAACCCACCCTCCTTTCTCCTTTACCTCATAGTATCTAGTAATCAGTGATACCCTCTAGCCCACAGCCAGGCCAATCACCTTTCATCCCACCAGAGAAGCCTCTCCAGTTGGCAAAGACCATCAAAGGGAGTCCTTCACGGTTGAAGTCCTTGATAGCCTGATAGGTCTTAAACGCAGAGTCTGGGAACCAAACCTGGCCAGCTTGCTGAATTATCTGATGGGGAAAGTCAAAGAAGACCCAATTAACAATATATTTTGAGAGAGCCTCTGCAAGATGAAAAGGATTTATTAAAAATTGAAAACTCCAAATCAAATCAACCAACCAAAACTGATTCTTCAAAGATTTGAAGGAAAACAGAAAGGATCTCGAATCTTTGACTTTATTAAATGCTCTTACTTTTAGTCTTGATTACACCACCATTCCTTAGGTAGAAGGGGGAAACTTGACTGCCTTTATGAGAGAAGGCAGCCCTAGAACACTCATTCAGGTTTCGCAAAAGCAACTTTACATGACTTAATTACAACACCTCAAAGTAAGCCATGTCTAAGTCTCCAAGTCCTTCCACCTCTCTGTTTAGTATGGCCTTCTCTGTATTGTGGTTTATCAATAGACACTCGATATAAAACTGCTAAATAGGGGCTGGGGATTTAGCTCAGTGGCATAGGTGTCTGCCTGGCAAGCACAAGGTCATGAGTTCGATCCCTGGTACCGTACAAATAAATAAATAAATAAATAAAACTGCTGAATAGCTTACTTCCTAGTTCCACTACTCACTTTCTAGATGGTCTGAGGATTTCGAAAAGTAATCCAGATTTGAAAAACAAGGGGTTAGGCCAGGATATAGCTCAGTGGCATGGTACCTGCCTGGCAAGCTTGAGGTTGTGAATTCAATTCCCAGTACCAAAACCAAAACAAACCAAACCCTTAGGGCTATGGTGTTCATGCCAGGCATTAGGACAGACTGGCTTACCAAGCCTGGTTACAGCTCTATCACATGGGTGCTCAGTATCTATAGGCACTGCAGTAGTGAAAAAAGGATATAAATACAAAGAAGCTCTATGTATAGGCACACAATGTGCTTGAGGTGATTTACCTTAGCTTCAGAATCCAGGTTTGCCGGATCAGCTGGGATACTTAGTTCTACTGTTCGGGTTTCCACAGCAACTACGCCAACAGGTATTCCTCCTAGCCTGATGAAAAACAGTCATATAAGAACCCAATGCATGTCAAGATTACAACCATTTATTTATTTTCTAATTATATTTCAACACTTTGGGAAAGACTAGAAGCAGACACAGTTAACAGTTGGGAATCTGACTTTTCCAGGGATTAAATGTGAGACCCTATGGGTTTAGAAAACCACCCTCAGAATCATTCCTATTCTGAAATGCCCCAATGTGGATAAATTCAAACCAAGAGTTGTATTAGGGAAGCCTCTACCTTTGGCCTCAGTAGCCTGTGTGTGCACACATCTAGCTCAAATTGCCAAATGAATGTGCTCAGCTTATTCCAGAGCATTTGCTGGTGACAATGGTGGGAATGGTTTGAAAGGTGGCAGGAATGTGAAAGTCAGTAACTTTTTAATGGCATTTTGGAGAATATTAATAATGTGGTCCCAGATAAAACTTAAGAGTATACACACTACGTCTTAGAATTGGATGTGTGGATGCAATATGTTCTATGAAAATGATAAAAATATGTGCCAAGTTGGACATGGTGGTGCATACCTATAATCCTAGGACTCTAGAAGACTGAGGCAGGAGTATCACAAATTTGAGTTAAGCCTAGGCAACTTAGCAACTTAGTGAGACATTGTCTCAAAAAAAAAAAAAAAAAAAAAAATCAAAAGGAGCTGGGGATGTAGTTCACTGCAAAGGCACTCAATTCAGTCCCCAGGCCAAGAGGAAAAAGTGCCAAGAGTAGGGAAGAGTTTAAACTCTTAACTTTCTCTTTCACTGGAAGAAAGCAATGAAACAGGGATAAGTATGAGTAGTAATCTTGGTGAAATCTATATTGAAAGTACATATTTAATCTCAAAGGTATGTTAATTTAAAAAGCTTCTCAGGTACTTGAGGCTTTCTATACTCCATGACACCCTCTTAACTTGTTCTTCATAAAGATTTTCTAGGAAAAAGTAAAAAAAGAGAGCAGAAGTTGGGGAAAGGAGAGAAGCAGAAGCACGAAGAGGCATTCTGGAAAATGATTCACTCCCCACTGTCTTCACCACATTCCTTGGGGTTGGGGCTGGTATGGGTTGTAGTCTCTCATTCCCCACAGCAGCTCAGTAACAAACTTTCCAAGGACAGTCTCCGACTGATACACTGAGTACTGGAAATGGATTCTTGTCATCATTAGAGACTTAAAGGGGGCATGAGTAGAGACCACCCACCTCTTTGTCACTTGCCTGTACTGAATCAAAATCAAAAGCCCTCTAGACAACCAGACAATGAGCAGGAGGTACACAGGAGGGTTCAGAAATATTTCTGTTCACAATGATTAACAATCCAACTGGAAACTTGTAATTGCAGAAGCCACCCTAAATCGGTAACTTATAACTTATATATTAGGGCCCATGTGACCTAATAAAGAACATCTTTATCTGAGTATTACAGTTATTTATTGAACTTGAAAACAGCTCAGAAACAACTTCTGTTTTCTATTATACTTCATATAAATTTTATCAGGCTAGCACATGAAGATGCTACATCTTGTTTTATAGTGTGTCCCTGGACAAGGTGCCATGGAACAATAAAAGACAATTTACAGCCAATAGCACACGTATTCCAAACATACATACCAAAGATGAGTTTTGGCAGCACTTACAGTAACAATCCCAGAAGAATACATGTATATTTATTTCTTGAAGTGTCATTGCTTTTGAAAGCAGCTAGTTCCATTTTTGTTTTATATACTTGTTTTAGATACTTGTGAGCATGTGTATGTGTTTGGAGTAACAGGCCCAGATCTCATCAGATGGAAAGAAAGGGAGAAAGTCAGAATGGGTGTCGGAATAAACTATGGCCGAGGTAACCAAAGCCAAGCTTGACTGATCTGAGTAGAACAATCCCTATTTTTCCAACTGTAAGTGTAAAGCCTTGTTCTCTTATTCCCCAAGAGATCTTAAAGACCTTAACAAACATTTGGCTTTGTGAGGCTTAAAATTTGTCATGTTTTTTATAGACAGGAAAACTGAAGCAGAATAGATGAGGGACAAATTCTCAAAAAGTTAGTACTGGTGTGATATTAGGACTTTACTGTAAAGAGCCAACAGATCCTGGGTGGGAGGCCCTTGCTCGAGTGCATGCCCAGCACCAGTTTCCCAGTGGGAATTTGACTGGCACGAAGAGTAATTCTCACTGGGACCCAGAAACCTGGGAAGAAGTAAAAGACTTGACACTGTAAAGAAAACAAGCACTTGGTTCTGGCAAGTTTCTGTTTGAGGTGACTCCTATTCAGAGTCACAGTGGAAGACTGCATCTGTGGGATTTGCCATCTGATGGCTCCTTGTCACTGGCAGCATGAGGTATGCTGACCTGCTGCAATGAGAACCACAAAGCCTAGAATTATTTTCAAGGCTAGAATCTAAATTTCAGCTCAATGTGGCATGTTTGAGAATCTTGAGCAGGTGCCACTTTTCACCAAGATAAGGAAAACCGATTGCCCCTGAGAGGCAGGTGAGCTCCAGATGCGGGTCCCTCGGGCAGCATGTCTCTGCAGTGCAGAATTAGATTAAGATCAGCCTTGGCAGGTGCTTGTTATAGTGAACGCTGCAGATTATTTCGCATGGAGCTTGCTGTGGAGTGAAGCACTTCTTAGAGTGGGTATTAAAATTTAATAGAAACTTCAATTTCCCACTTGAAAAATATGGTTATCCCAGCAGCCTACTAGCTTATTTCGTTCATGCTTGTTTTAAGCAACATTTTTTTTCTTGGTAATTCAAATCTGATTATAATCCCATATAGTACATAAATCACTTAAGTAAATCTTGATGCCAAGAAGAAACTTTTCTCATGTCACACAGAGAAGTTGAGTCTGATTCACTTGCCACTTGCTCCTGAAGGAAAGTGGTCTTTGGAGGAGAGAAAGACTTTGGTGGGCCACCACTATTGTAGTTGGGCTCAATAGTACCCAGAAGCTTTTCTTTCCATATTGTAAAGAGGAAATATTGTCAAAATCAGCATTAAGATTAAGGACATCATTAGAAAGATATGGTAAATAACTACTGGAAAATAGTATTGCAATTAGGCTGCCTTGGTCATGGCTATATTCCAAAATTCTGAAGCTTACACAAAAGAGAGCACTATTGGTAAAAAAATCTATATAGCCATTGCTCTTTCCTTTCATATTTTTATTTGGGAGGAAAACGAGTTTCTAAAACAAAAGTGTTCTTACCTGGCTCTACCAACCACCACAGTCTGTGCCCATGGCTGCATAATCTCTGAGAAAGATCCATAGTCAAAAAATCCACTCAACCACTGACCTTTCTGGGCTACATAAGGAAAACAAAGAAAAAAGTCAATCAACTGACAATGTACTTAATGTACTGAATTGAATATGAGATTTGGGGAATAATTTAGGGGAGTCTGTTGTTATTTCTAATCATATTATAATAGATGGAATCATTAGGCAGCTGAATGTTCATCTGCCTGAATGACATCTCCTACTTCATATGCTAGTCTACATAAAAAGAATCATTTATCAGCAAAAACGCCATTTATTGCTAAACAGTGGGGTTCAGCCAGCAGAAAGTTTCCATGCTTTTATATAAGTATCTTGCTTTTTTTCAAGACACTACAAATATTTGTCAAAAGGTACCCATATTATTAAAGATCTTTCAAAGTATCTATTTCTATTTCAAAATTTACCTTACAGTTTTGTTTGATTCCAATGATTTTCTTTTTAATGGAAAGATGAAAACAGTCAAATAAAAGTGTTAATGATCAGATGAGGACCCAAACTTGGGGAAAAGAAAAAGGATTCAATTTTTCTGCTAAAAAAGCAACAAAGGGGCTGGGGATTTAGCTCAGCGGCATAAGCATCTGCCTTGCAAGCAGGCGGTTGTGAGTTCGATCCCCGGTACCGATAAAAAAAAAAAAAAAAAGCAAAAAGATCCACTTTATTTTCAGCTGACAAACAATAATCTTTCGATAAGAAAAGGCCATAGACATGTAGTTCACAGAGCAAAAATGTTGTGGTTAAATATAGAAACCTAATGCTAATAACTTCCACTGCACATAGAACTTCCTTCACTAACAAGACATACAACTTTCAACATCTTAGTTTAAGAAAAACTTTTGTTCCACAGATATGAATGTTTGCCCAAGGCCTTATAAAAGCTTCTGCAAATAACTGTTTCCTAGTTTGCCCTCTCAGCTCACAGTTTCTCTGTGATTCTTTTAATTTGAACATGGCCCTCCACCTGCTAAAAAACCAAGTCCAAAACCAATTAAAAGTGGAGATCTGAGCAAGCTAACCTCTGCTGACTTAAACAGGATGGAGAATGTTTTATCAAGACTAAACTTGTAATTACTGTGTTCTACATTCCTTGCCTCTATGGCCCCAGTGTAAAATGTGATCATCCATTTCAAAATTATCTCTCTATCGCGAGCCCAAAGCTGATCGTTTAGATTCCAGTCTCGTGTTGGGCGTCAGTTTGAAGAATATCATGGCACTATCTTCTCTAATAAATGACTTTAACTTTTCACCTAGAAGATATCTGCTTTAACTTATCATAGGGAATCATCTGCTTTCTTTAACGCTTCTACTAAATTAAAATCTAAGTCACTCGATTTGGGAGCGAATGCTAGCTGCACATGGACAGCAGGATGAATTACTGTAGAGTCAATGAAAAAAATATTATCCCCAAAACAGAAAACTGCGTTTACCAGAAATTTCATTTTATTCTGTGGATATCATTAATAATGATCAGAATAATCCTCATCTGCACACACTTCTGTTCACTCATGGTCTTGAAGAGGAGCTCAAATTTTGATGAAGTTCTAAACCAAAGTTTTAGGTACACCAGAATCTTTAAATTTTAATTTTTTGGGGGAAAGTACTGGAGATTGGACCCAGGTCCTTGTGCATGGTAGGTAAGTGCTCTAGCACTGGATTACATCCCCAGTCCTTTTTTATTTTGAGATAATGTCTTGCTAAGTTTGCCAGGCTAGCTTCAAACCTGCAATCTTCCCGCCTCAGCTTCCAAAACAGTTGAAACCACTGGTATGTGCCACTAGGCCCAGCTGAATATTTAGCTTTATATCCTTGGATCATTTTATCATTCTTACTTCAATAACAGTGATTTGAAACTAGAGAGTAAATTTCACAGCACAAATGTTTACTTCTTTAAAAACCCTCCTGCTCACTATGCTGCTTAGGGGAAAGAGAGCAACTAGTTAGCAGAGTTGGGCTTCCCAGTCCCAAAGGGCAGATTATACTCATTACAGACACAAAACTAAAAAGTCTGCTAGCTGATTCAGTGACACATGCCTATAATATCAGCACTCTGAGAGACTGAAGCAGAAGGATCACAAGTGGAGTACAAGCTGGGCAACTTAGTGAGACCCTATATTAAAATAAAAAATGAAAAAAAGGACACAAGATGTAGCTCAGTGATTGACATTATCTGTCCTTTAGGATACTAAGGCACAGAGCAAGTGAGAAACTTGCCCAAGTTAGATGCCAAGTAGCAGAACTAGCATATACACATATAGGAGTTTAAACTCTGACCCTAGTACTGTTTGTTTATTTTTTTAAAAATCTTTTTGAGACAGGGTCTCACTATGCAGTTCAGGCTGGCCTTGAGCTCACTTTGTAGCCTAGGCTGGTCTTGAACTTGCAACAATCCTTCTGCCTCAGCCTCCCGAGTGCTGGGATTATAGGTGTGTGCCACCACGCCCAACTTTTAGCACTGTTTCTTTAAAAAAAAAAAAAATCCAGCAGATTTTAGAATATTGAAAATAGTTTGCCAAAGAGAAGTATCCTCCACCACAGCCTCTTCCCATTTTTTTTAGGGTGGGGGAGTGGAACTAGGGTTTGAATACAGGGCCTTCACACTGAGCTACAGCCCCAGCCCTTCTATTATTTTTTATTTTGTGACAGGGTCTTGCTGAGTTGCCCAGGCTAGGTCCAAACTTGTGATCCTCTTGCCTCGGCTTCCCAGAACGCTGGGATTGTATGAATGCACCACCACAGGCCAGCAGCCTCAATTTAAAAACTTTTTTCTGTTTTCGCTTGTTTTGTCTTTTTTTTTTTTTGTCTTTTTCCTTTTTATCGGTACTGGGGATCAAACTCACGACTGCCTGATTGCAAGGCAGGCACTTATGCCGCTGAGCTAAATCCCCAGACCCGTTTTGTCTTTTTTTGAAACAGGGTCTTGCTATGCAGTTCAGGCTGGCCTTGAACTCACTTTGTAACCCAAGCTGGTCTTGAAATTGCAAAGATCCTCCTGCCTCAGACTCTCCAGTGCTAAGATTACAGGCATGTGCCACTACGCCCAATTTTAAAATTTATTTAGAAAAAGAGTTGTAAATTTTAAAATGCATTTTGGTCCAGGTGTAGTGATGTACACCTGTAATCCCAGCAGGAGGCTAAGGTGGGAAGAACTCTGCAAATTCAAGGCCAGCCTAGGCTATACAATGAGTTCAAGACCAGCCTGAACTACATAGCTAAACACTGACTCAGAGAAAATGGGTTGGAGGGGAAAGAGAGACAGACAGAGACAGAGAGACAGAGAGAGAGAGAGAGAGAGAGAGAGAGAGAGAGAGAGAGAGAGAGAGAGCGAAATAGACAAAAAGGAGAGAGACAGCCCACCAGCCCAAGAGAAAGACAGTTAAATAAGTTAGTTTAAATGCTTCAAAGCCAGGGTACTACAAATGCACATACTTGGGTGAGGACGGCCTGCTAGCATCCACCGAGGATCATAAGGGGCCTTTGTAGGAACAAACTCGATGATTCTGTCTATAGGATCCTTGGAGTTGAGAAGAGGAACTGAACTGTGCACACTCTAAAGGGAGATTGAGGGAAAAAGAGCACAGCAATTAGTGAAGAGCAATCACACATTCCAGCTCAGCAGCTATATACAAAAGAGAGCAGAGATCACATTTAGAATTATACTCATTGCTCTCAACGATTAGCCAGAAGCATCTCAGTTATGTGTGAAGCTTTAAGAACACACTCAGGTCTCAGGTCTCATTTTGGAACCTGGCACAAAGCTGCACATTTGGATTTGATCTCAGTATGCTCATGCTTTCTGGGGAACAGAAGAGCATCACAGAAGGGCATTACAAAGAATAACAATGAAGAGGAAGCCTTAAAAATGCTGGAACTGAGCCTAGCCAGGTGAAAAGATGTACACTTAACATTTAAAAAGACCCTAAATAATAAAAACCAAAGATATTTTAGGAGTATAAGGCATATGTTGGCTTTATAAAAGAAAGCAACATTTTTCAGAGAAACCTTTCATAAAAATTATTCCACCATAAAGATGTGTCCATGAACACAGAAGACAGGGAGAGTGGTGACAACAGCAGTTCTAGAGCAAGGTCAGTGTTGGGTAAAAAGGGCCGACCTTAGGCATATATGACAGCCAATGCAGGACAGTAAAGACTCCTTCAAAGTCATCACAAACAGTGCTGTGAGTCACTCCATTGTTGTGCATGATCTGGATGCCCCCAAGCTGGTTATTGGAAGTATATACTTCCCGCCCGAGGACCTAGAAAAATGAACAAGAGAAAAGACATTTACCACAGAAAAAAAAGATACAATCTGTTTCATAATTTTCACTAAAATAAGTTCTTTCTTCTGCAAGACAGAGATTCTTGCCTCCATGAGTTGTTCTTAAGGACCATCAAGAGCTTTCTCCTTTAAAAAAACAAAACAAAACAAAGATTATATAGTTACACATACTATTGAACTTTAAAAACCAGCATCCTTTTTCTTAATTAGTGGCAACAGATACATATAGCATTCTAGGCTGAGACTGTAGTAGGAGTAAACTGGGATTCTGATGCATAGGCTACCACATCAAGGACAGGTCCAGCAGAGTTGTTATGCACATATACACAAAAAGGTAACATGCCCATACCCTCTTCTTTAGTGATGATGACAAATCTCAGTTAAATCTTGCAGAGGGTTAGGTTCATTTTTCTAAAGTATTAACTTTTCCCATGCATTTGACTTTTAAACCTGATCTTCAACACACAAGCTCTAAAACTGGCAAAATCCTAAAGCACCAACACAATACATATACAAGCCCCTTAATGTCAAGTCTTTGTGTGCTGGTGCAGGGCTGTGATTTATTCCCAAGCTTGCTTCCCTCCTTTCCTTTCCAAGGCTGGAGGGATTTTAGACCCTCATCCCCAATGTTTTTCTAGAGGAGTTTAACCCTTGCCAGGTTGAAGGGCACCTGCAATTGGAAGCTACAAAGTTTCCTTTAAAGAAGAAAAAATATTCCTGGACTTGGAAATTGTAGGGTTTCTTTTCCCCTTGAAGACTGGTTAATAATTTCTTTCAGGGAGGAAGATTTTCTGACCCAGCAGATGGGAGCTGGGCAGCCTGATCACGGACTATTGCAAACTGCTGAGTGTGTAGTAATTGCCAGTCATCTAGGGTAGCCCTGGAGAGCCCTAAACAGTTGTGGAATGCTTACTGTATTTTCCCTTTTCTTTTCCATTTCCCCCATTCTTTAAAAAATAACTGTAACAAAAAATTCTTTCCTTACTAACTTTTACTCATTTTTAATCTCTGAGGAGAACCTCATAAAATTAAGGGCCAGAAAATTGTACCTATGTATTCCCAAGTGACCCGTCTTGTTACGAGCTTTGAGAGTTTCCCTTGTGTGCTGGGTCACTACCTATATTAAGACCTTCTAAAGGCTGAGGAAGTTGGTGACCGAAGTACTAACCTCAGGATAACCCAGCTGACCTTGTTTCCATTTAACTTCAGCTAGGAAGGGTGGAAGAGACTTTTGTGAAAGAATATGGAAAGCAAAATTGCTCTCAGATTACTGCTTTCCTTGAAAAGGAAGCACAGAGAACAAGCCTTTACAGGCAGCCCCAAGCTGAGCACCATGCTGGCAGCTCCTTTGAAAGAGCTCTGTGAACAGGCGAGACCATATCTGACCACTGCACTCCCATCCTCCTCTCAGTCTGTCTTTAATCTTAGCTCAGGCGCTGTGGCTCTTTTCTCATTCTCCTGCTGTCTCTTTCCATTTGCCCTCTTTCTGACTGATACACTGATCTCTCGGTCACTCAGCTTTCTGCTCCACTGAGTCCATATTACTAATAACACCTCCGCCACGGCCAGTTTACCTCATGAAGGCAGGAGCACATCATTACAAAATAAACTCATAACTTTGACATTCTAGCAAATACACGCCGTTTGTTATTTTTATGGCTTTAGTCTTTCTAACAGGCAGAGGGCATTACATACCTGTTTCATTTATATCTTTAAATGTGTGCACACATGCACACTCACACATACATCAGAAAACAAAACAGAACAACAAAAAAAAACAAACCAAAACAAATACCCAGAGCAGTCAGTTGATGGGAGACCCTGGCAGAGGCAGGAACCTTGTCACTCAGGGAGGCCATGCTCTGATCTGGCTCTGGTTTTATGTTGGTCATAAACCTGATGGCCCACAACTGGTCCTTCTGGGACAGACTGTCTCTCTGTTAGAAGTCATTCAGTGTGATCAGCAGTATTTTTAATTATTAAAATAAAATCAGAAAGGAGAAAGGGAATAAACGGAGTCACTGTGCTGACCCTGAATATCTGATGTTCACAGTCTGTGCCAGAAGCCATCTGCTCCTTGTCCATTTTCTACTCAGAAACTATCCTCTCTTCTACCTCAAGTGCTTGATAATGTCCAGTCATCAGAATTTTATACATTTCTCAAATCAGTATTGGACCAAGAAAGGACGAAGTTCAGAAAAAGAGACTACAGCAGTACAAAAGTTGCTTTGCTATTTAAATGCATCTTCCTCAGATGTCTTTGCCCTTTACTGCAAAGAGGAGGAGAACATTTGGAAGCAGGCTTCCACCACAGGTGCTCTGCCTCTTACCTATTCTACCATGCATGTGTTTTGGGGATGTTGGAGATTGAACCTCAGCATGTACTGTACCACTAAGCTATACTTCTAGCAACTCTACCCCATATTTTTACAAGGAGACAAATGTGGAAGGAGCAAAATTCAGTAACAGCACACCTTCCTTTTCCAAGCTAAAACTTAAGTTGTAGGGGCTGGGGATTTAGCTCAGTGACATAAGCACCTGCCTTGCAAGCACATGGTTTTGAGTTTGATCCCCAGTACGGTAAAAACAAACAAACAAAAACTTATTGTAACATGGCACTGTTTTGAAAAGCAGCAATATTTCTACATTATTTTTTTTTTCCCTGTGAGTTCCAAAGAAATCTAATCAGAGTTTCACATGACCAAGAGCATTATTTCTGGGGTAAAGAAATGTTTGTCATGTAAGAAGACTATTTAACTTAGAAATAAAAAAAATATAGGATAGACTAACAGTACCAAAATAGGTGTCTTGGAATGGCCTTATCTTGGAAGATAGAGGTAGAGTGGAGACGACATACAGAAATAGAACTTGCTCCACTCACTACAAACAAATGCCAACAACCACAGTACTTAATGATCAATAAGCAGAGAGAGGTACCCTCTCTTCATCACCAGTGATTGTAGGTCTGGAGTATGCACCTGAATGAGAGAACATTCACAATAGCTCCTGATTTATAGGGGTTGTTGCTAACTCAAATGGTTTTAATGATTTTAAAATTCTTCACAACAAAAGCTCCAACCAAAGAAGCCGAATCTGGGCTAGGACAAAATCCATTCTGTCTAACCCTGAAATGAACATGCCAGAACAGTCAAACCCTCATTCACATCTAGGAAGACAAAAAGAACCTACAAAGACAGAAGCATCGTGTTATTCATCAATTATGTTGGCCTACCATGCTTCTACAGAAAAACCTGGGGTTGACAGCCCTCATCATCACAACATTTTCATGAAGTAGGCAAACTTCAAGCTTCATTTGGCACTTTAAAAATTTTTGACATAGGCACTTCTGTATTAGACATATTGCCTGCCATGTTTCAGTCCTTCAAATTATTCCTTTCAAGTTTTCGTACTGCATCATGCAACTTTAAATTTATCTTTTCAGTCACCAATCACTATTTAAATACAGAAGTCATTCAAACAGAGATGATGTTCCTGAAGCCCTCACCTGTTACCTTCTTGGTCTAAGTAGGGAAGAAGTACCATGAAATATTAGGAACACTACCATTTTGGGGTCCTCTACTACTAAAGACTGCCCAGATCACAGACCTGAATAACGGGAAAGATCACCTTCATCTAATGCCTCTATAAACTTATGCTTTGTTCAGTGCTCCACTTATTTAACAAATAGCAGGACTGAAGATTTAAGAGCACTGCACGAAAGTGATTAGCAGAAATGTAATTGCTAAAGGCTCA